CTCAAGATTACTAATACGAGAAGACTGTCAATTAGACAACTGGAAAGAAAAATTTATTGCTGGTCTACCTTATTTATTTGCAGAAAAAGTCAAAGACAGATTTAGAAAGAAACATAATGGAATTATAATATATTCAGCTTATATACTTGGAGAACTCTTAGCAGAAATATGTGCTGAAGGCCTAGCTTTATGTACTGATCTTAAACTCAAAAGACAGTTAGATAAACAACAAATTACCAAGAGAAAAGAACTTGGTGATTTCTGTAAACAATTTGGATAATATCTAGATAGGAAAAAATATGCCTGAAAAACTATATAAGAAAAAGAAAAAATATAAAAAAGATAAATATAAATCCAAATCAAATAAAGTACATAAACAATATAAGAAGTCTAAAAGAAAATTCATAAACAAATTTTCTCCAAATACAAAGAATAAAAAGAAACTTTCAGTATGTTATAAATGTGGAAAGGTTGGTCATTACAGACACCAATGCAAATTAAAAAAGAAAATAGAATCATTACATTTAGATGATTCAATTAAATCAAAATTATATAACATAATCAATTATGATTCCCTATCTTCAGATTCCACTGAATCACATATAGAACATATTCAAGATGATGACCTTTTATGGACATAATCATCTGACTCTTCAGATTCTTCAACAGATACATAATCATCCAATCCAATGAAAGATACTAATTGTAGTTGTCCTATACCTACACATAATCTTCATATGCTCACTCAAGAAGATAATTTAATATTGGATATTATAGAGAAAATTACAGATTTAGAAGAAAAACGATCTGTAATCACTAAATTTATTACATTAACAAAAACAAAAGCAAAAACACGTCCAATCAATAAAATACCTGATGGATACAATTTTGCTTCTATCATGAAAAGAGTAAGTGAACAACATACTTCTCAACAAAAAGAACCTTCGATTTCAGACCTAAAGCAAGAAATCAAAGAAATTAAAAAAGAAGTACATCAGTTAAAGAACAGAATCAAAACTCTAGAATTACAACAAATATCTCAACCAGAAACTGATACAGATGAAATAGAATTTGATCAGCTCATGGCATATGAGCTAGATCCACCAGAAGATATTCCAGAAACTTCAGAAGCTAAACCACATTTGGTCACCATTCCTTTGTTTTAAAGTACAGAGAAATTTTTCTTTATTTTGTTTGAAAAATGCTCCATCAGAATTCCAGAAAATAATGAATGATGTCTTCAATGCTTATTATCAATTTATGATAGTTTATATTGATGACGTTTTGATCTTTTCTGACTCTATAGATCAACATATTAAACATGTTAATACTTTTATACATGCAGTCCAGAATGCTGGATTAGTTGTATCGGCCAAAAAGATAACTTTATTCAAAACCACTATTAGGTTTCTAGGACATATGATTCATCATGGCACAATTATTCCCATAGATAGATCTATCCAATTTGCTGATAAATTCCTTGATCATATACTTGACAAGAAAGAACTTCAGAGGTTCTTAGGATGTTTAAATTATGTAAGTGATTTTTATCCTAATCTTGCCATAGATGCTAAACCTTTACATGATAGATTGAAAAAGAATCCTTTACCCTGGACAAATATTCATACTAAAGCAGTTCAATTAATCAAACAAAAGGTCAAAACACTTGTTTGCCTTTCTCTTCCTCATCCTACTGCTTTCAAAATAATAGAGTGTGATGCCTCAGAAATACGCTTGGGTGGTATTCCCAAGCAACGGATTGATAATCAGGAACAATTACTCAGGTATACTTCTAAAGCCTGGAATTCAACTCAACAAAACTATTCTATGGTCAAAAGGAATTATTAGCCATTGTTCATTGTGTTACAAAATTCCAGAGTGATATTCTCAATCAACAATTTCTCATACGAACTGATTGTAAAGCCCCAAAGATATTCTGCAAAAAGATGTTCAAAATCTAGTTTCCAAACAAATATTTGCCCGCTAGCAGGTTATCCTGTCTGCTTTTGATTTCACTATTGAACACCTTCCCGGGTCTTCCAATTCTCTTCTTGATTTCCTTACCCGTGAATTTTTGCAAGGGGGCAACACTGACGCCAACGACGAAGAATCACTGCTTTCACTTGCACTATAGCTTTTCGAAGCTAATAGAAATAATATTACACTTTCACCTTCACTTAATTCCATGGGTTCTCGTAGCAATTCTCGCCACGATAAACGCCCAATGAATATAATACCATTCGAAGGTGAATTCCCGCCTTTGGCAACCCTTTCACCTTCAAATTCCCCCATTCACCAAATAACTTACCCTGAAGCTCATACTTTTAATCCTATATATTCTCCAGCCCAATCTAAACCAAATCCAAGGCCTCATATGCCCAAGTCCTCATATATTGAACGAGCCTACCTGATGGACATCACCATTGATGAACATCACATCAATACAGACCCCATCAAACTTGCTCCATTATATTTGATAAATCATTTAAACCCAACCAATGGAGTCAAAACCAGAGAATATTATGAAGCAATTCTTATGGAAACAGGATCCATATCTGTTGTCCATTATTACCAGCAGAATACTCGAGTAATTACTTACTCAAAAGTTGAAATTAAGAAACTACTTTCTTATGAGGAGTGGGGTTGCAATCCCGCTCAAGGAAAGAAATTACACAACCCCGATTTTTCATACAAATACTACAAATATGCCGAATATATAGAGGCTTGGCATAAACTCTTTTATTACCAAAATCCAAACAATATTCATAGCTGGTATATCCAGTTCCGGTTACCTGTTTTTGAAAGATTCCCCAACTGGTTTAAAAACTGGTTTTT